ACTGATCCACACATACAACCAACTGATCCACACATACAACCAACTGATCCACACATACAACCAACTGATCCACACATACAACCAACTGATCCACACATACAACCAACTGATCCACACATACAACCAACTGATCCACACATACACAACTGATCCACACATACAACCAACTGATCCACACATACAACCAACTGATCCACACATACAACCAACTGATCCACACATACAACCAACTGATCCACACATACAACCAACTGATCCACACATACAACCAGCTGCATGCTTCTGCAGTAACCAGGCGGGTACTATCCACACATGCAACCAACTGCCTGCTCTGCAGTAACCAGGCGGGTACTATCCGCACATGCAACCAACTGCATGCTCTGCAGTAACCAGGCGGGTACTATCCACACATGCAACCAACTGCATGCTCTGCAGTAACCAGGCGGGTACTATCCACACATGCAACCAACTGCATGCTCTGCAAAAGCCACCCTGTACACAAGCATGCCACAAATGCATGCCCTCAGTCTGCAGAACCCAGCAGTCTCAGCTAGGGTTGGCTTGCACATCACATGCTCATGCTCATGTTCAGGCTGTGCAGAAGTAGTTCCACTACAATAGTCGTATCCAGTGCAGCTGCTACGCAAAGCAGGGCATGCCCTGTGCTTGCAATTCATCCCAAGTAAGCTGCACGCGAGGGCCAATAGCACGGCAGTTTTCGCTTTGTAAAACTGTACGAGTAAGACAGTAAGACAGCACCCAGCGGACGTGCTTGCGTGTTCTGGGGCACATTTTTAAATTGTTTTATTGGTGACACCCGTAACATACATAACATAGCACAATTATATGAACATAAAACAGAGAGGTTCCAGGCTGTCCAAGAGAGTGCTATATGAACATATAATATGCACATTATAGTTGGCCAGTGTACCAAGCGCACTTCAATTCAACAAACACATATACTTACATCTGTGATGCTAGCCAATCAGGCTGGTGATGGTGGTGATGGTGGGATAGGTTGGGTAGAGAAATAGTAAGAGAGAGAGAGAGAGAGAGAGAGAGAGAGAGAGAGAGAGAGAGAGAGAGAGAGAGAGAGAGAGAGAGAGAGAGAGAGAGAGAGAGAGAGAGAGAGAGAGAGAGAGAGAGAGAGAGAGAGAGAGAGAGAGAGAGAGAGAGAGAGAGACAGAGAGAGAGACAGAGAGAGAGAGAGAGAGAGAGAGAGAGAGAGAGAGGAGAGAGAGGAGAGAGAGAGAGAGAGAGAGAGAGAGAGAGAGAGAGAGAGAAGAGAGAGAGAGAGAGAGAGAGAGAGAGAGAGAGAGAGAGAGAGAGAGAGAGAGGAGAGAGAGAGAGAGAGAAGAGAGACAGAGAGAGAGAGACAGAGATCAGAGTAATCAATCAATATGATCAGCATGAGAGAGAACACATATTTCGTAGCAGAGGAGTGCGATAGAAATAACTAGAGTGGGCAGAGAGCCAAGGATCCTAGTGGGCAGAGAGCCAAGAATCCTAGCAACAATGGACACGAATACAGTGAGGGTATGAGAAATACCTGTATGACCGATAAGATTCAAGTATGGACAAATCAATACATGTGCATCTACACATACCTCTCCAACTTGCAACAGCAGCTCGCTCAATTCTCTCAAGTCTTTCCTACAGTCTTTCATCTTGATCTGTAAAAGTATAGTTGCCAGTAAGAAACACAAAGACATTGAACTGATCTGAGAGTGCATAACACACCAGGGATGGTCCTTCCCTAAATGCTATGATCTTTTTTCATCAGCGGTGCAGCTTGTTTCAAATACACCCCTCAGGGTGACCCCCGGACTATGGCCACGTTTGCACTGGCCATTGGGCCCATGGTCGTCGACAAGTTGGCCAGTTGAATCTGTTCACAGTCACAAGTGAATTAGGTGTGGTACACCGATGATGACGCTGCTGCTGCTGCTCCTGCTGGTGGTGGTGGTGGCCTGGCCAATGTTCACAACTACTGGGTCAACATCGGAGTTGCAGAGAAGACGGTAGTCGTGTGAAGCCACAAATGCTTCAGCAAGCGTATGATGCGGTTTGCAGACACGAGCCTTTGTTTACGGGGTTGCAGCAGATGAGGCAACTGAGCTCTGAATCAATCGATGCGTTCCTGTCCCGATGTCAGAACGTAGCAGGAAGGGTAAGTTTGCCGACTGAGCTGAGCTACACGAGCGTTTGATCGAGTAAATTATTATTGGCGCTCATCATTGTTATGTTCAGAAGCTCTTGGCACTTGGAGATGGTTTGAGCAGCTTGGATACTACTGCCTTGGATACTACTGCCTTGGACACCGCGTGTACTCATGAGGCGACGTCCTTTCAGCTGCAGCAGCATACTGTAGGACTGTAGGACTGCCTCGCTGAATCCCAAGCCCTGACGAACTGGATGTCTGAGATCAAAACCGTCAAAGGCCAAAGTAAGGGAGCTCCAAGAGGAGTTTGGAAAAGTGTCTGTTTCGTGGACGAGAAGA